GTACACTCAAAAGCCTGAGCTGGGGCAGCGAGGAGAATGGCTTGAGCAGAAAAGGGAACCTGCAGAACAGAGAACCTGCACAAGATCACACTGCTGTGGCCCAGCAGTGTGAGGGGAGGATGTGGAAGCACACAGGGTGGGATGACTGGTGGTCAACGAGAGTGTAATGTTTGGAGGTGTGGGCTGGTACTGAAATGAATGGGATCTTTCTAGTTCACCCACAAAGGTACCCGAGTAGCTACTCCAGCTAACAGAATATTTGTGGTATTTACTGCCTCATCAAAACAACCACCAGCTTCTTCAGGTTGACTCATTTGAAAAGAAGAGAGAAGAAACAAGCAACATCCTTTCTAAGGACAGCTAAAGTTTCAGAGAAAGAAATGTATCACACAACGTTTCTTCTCGAAGGGGCAGCAGCATTTTTCAGTGAGGTTACCCAAACTCAATATGTCTAAATTGTAAGAGCAATTAGGCCTGTAATTTCAGCTGAGCATTTGAAGTCTTGAGTACACAGGGAAATTGGCCCAAATAACTATTAGGTACTAGCCCCTGCTAGTAATAAATGCTCTGAAGGCCAAAGGAAGGCATTAGCAGCCCTTGTGCAACCACCCTAACAGGGCGTACACATGTAACTAATTGGAAACCAGTAAACAATCCTGGCATTGAAGCCCAAAGCAGATAATCTCACTCACACTACTTCAGTCATTTTCTTCTCATGTGGCTGACTGGAATAAAACTGCTAAAATACTGTTTCCCTCATGCAGAAAAAGATCTAGGGGATATAATAGATCACAAGCTGATTAGGAGTTAACAGTGTCAAGCCATTGTGAAAAAGGCAAACACTGCACTAAGCTGTGCAAACAGGAGCATGGCTTGCAAGACATGAGAAGTAATCCTGCTCTGGTCCAGCCCCAGCAGGAGCACCAGGACTGGTGCTGGGGCTTATTCTCCAGCGGAGATGCAAAGTGCCCAGAGAGCATCCAGAACAGAGCCAGGAGAATAAACAAAGGTCTGAAACATCACTGAACAAATCAGATGTCCACAACCTCAACAGGAGCGTGGGATGGGAGGGAAACTCAACAACAATTTTCAAATTCATAAAATCATAAATTCATAAAGGGCTTGCAGGCTGGGGAAGGATAAAGGATTTGTGATGGAATTTGTAAGCCTCCTCAGGCAGAGAAAGGGTTAACATAGGCATTAGCAAGAAAGCAGCTGAGAAGGCACACAGCTGCAGGGGATAAAGCCACTGGAGAGGGCTATCAGGGGACCCTGGAGGAGGGGGCTGAGCAGCCTCTTGGGGTGGGGATGCAGGCCGGAGGGATGGGGGCCTGTCTCCATTCTGAGAGATTCTAGTCTTATCTTTGGGCATGTTACTGGCCTCCTTGTATTTAGTCAGGGTGTTTGATTATAAAAACCCTTTTTAGGCCTGCAAAAAAGCAGGGTAGAGTGGTAAGGGTCTTGTTTTCTTTTTAATAGCCCAGCAAAGCTTTTCACATCTGGTCTAAAATGCAGACAAAGTGCCAAAGCTTCTAAGGTAGGAGCAAAGTAGGATAATTCTTGCCGAAGGTTAAATATTAAGATACTGTTACTAAGAGGATTCAAAGTGAAGAGCTGTACCTTGGAAGCTGAACACTATGGAGGGGGAGAGAGAGAAAGCAGAAAGCTTCTGTATAAAAGGGATAAGTTATGCTGTGGGCTCAGCCTCAACAGCTCTAAAACTGGGGAGATCACAGAAGTCTGCATCTTCTAGCCAGAGGGAAAAGATCTTAGCCAGCCAAATTTCAGGGGGCTTAGAAAGTGCTGCAATATCTAAACTGGATATTAAGAAATTCTTTCTATGGGCAAAGAGAGCAAGGACTGCAGTGAAGTGGCTGAGGCTGTTATGAAGAGCAGTAGGTGTTTGTGAGTTGAGCCTGTCTCGATGGAGCTTCTCATGTCCCCTTCTGCTGTTTTGTACTGTAATGAGAAATATTGCCCCCCTCTTCTCTTGCCACTCAACTGTGACATTTTATGAAAATAACAGAGCGTTTTTGGAAGCTCAAAGCATTCTTTGAATAGAAGTGGTTTCAAAACTTGCTCTGAGCTGAATTTTTTACCTACTCCGTTGAATGATCCTTTCAACATAGTGAGTTCTGGAAATACTTCAGTACTAGAGCTTCTAACTTCAGTGACAAATGTGTTAAAAGAACACTCTATACTCACTCTTTCTGTCTTTCCAATAAAGGTACAACCAAATTAAGTGGCTCACATGCTCCACAACACAACAGTTTTGTTTGTACAGATGCATTTTTACCACCCCAGTTACTAGCTGAGCTTTGCAAAAAGAAACGAAACCCAAGGCTACTCAGCCTCAATAACCCCACTGATAGCCTACACAAGCAGTCCTGCTGTATCTCCTTTTAAACTCCAGTGAGATCAGCTCAGATCTGCCCTCACAAGTCAATATGTCCATGTTGTTCATAATGTGAGTCTGTGTCATTTTAGAAATGACAGTTACATGTGAAAAAAACCATAACTAACTTTCTAGATATTATGCTTTTCCATTAAGATGAGGAAAATTTCTATTTGACAGCTAAAGCCTCCAGAAATTGCAAATCTTAGTTCACAGTAATACTCCTCAAAATATTATTTTGTCAGAAATAAAAACTAAACAATAATTTGATAAGAAATGTCTGAGGTTGCAATACTTTCAGCTGTGAGGACTGCTTTGTGAGCTGCCCCCCACCACTGTGAAAAATCTTTAATGCAGAGCAATTGGAAGTAGAACTGGGACCAAACCATCTTTGCTTGCTTCTTAATGAGTTTGTTGTGACAGTGTTGGGAGATCTCTTTCCATTCTGCCCCACATCAAAGTGGAATGGGCAGTGAAACAGTTGACTGTACTTTGGAAACTTTCATTTCCCAAGTTGCCCAAGGACACAGAAATGCCTGCTGGAATTTCAAAAGCCAGTAGGTAAGAACCCTCACAATGGGTTTAGCTGCCTAGGTTGCCCTGACAATCCCGCTGAATAGGTTCCACATGCTCGTGAGCCTTTAAATGTCTTTCCAAACCCACCCCAAACAAAAATCACATTCTAAGCAGAAGTTTGTATTTAATTACTTTCTGTGGTCAGCTACATAATATAACTTAGAAAACATTTCTGGTGGGTTTGACTGGTTCTGTATTTTCCTCAGGGAAGGCAGCAAGGGCTTTGTCTGCATTTTGCCTCGCTTAATGAGGCGCTGTCCCTGACTAGGACTTTTGTTTGGTTTAGGGTGAGTAAAGCAATACTCTGCTACACTTTCCTAGATAAAGCAAGGCACGCAGGCAACATAACAGTGCCAGCAGCCTTTGTCGCCAGAAACAGGAATGATCATATTTAACAGCGCTGTTCATGGAGAGATTAAACTCAGGCTGGACGGTGAGAAGCTGTGCAGATAATTTGAAATAGATTCCGAGGGTGAATTACTGCTTGGCTGTTCTCCTCACCTCAGTTCTCAGATTTGTGTGCCAACCAACATTTTAAGATAACTCTGCTCTGTTTGCTCCTTGAATTGTCTGGCTGTTTAACAGGCTCTTCAAATAAACAAGGGATAATCTCGGGATTTTGCTTAACAAAGATTGCTTTGTGCAAATTTTAAAAAATTCTGAATAGGTTGTTGTACAGGGCCTGGTGCTGCAATCCCTTTTAGCTGTGAATACTTTCAAAGCAGTAAGTGGTTGCACAACCATAATTTCAGTTAATAAATGATCAATAATACTTTTCAGTATATTTTGAAATGCCTTCCAGTATCTGAAAGGGCCTACAAGGAAGCTGGAGAGGAACTGTTTGTCAGGAACTGCAGTGACAGGACAAGGAGTAATGGGTACAAGTTGAAAGAGGGGAAATTCAGGTTAGATACCAGGAACAAATATTTTACTGTGAGGGTGGGGAGGCCCTGGCACAGGTTGCTCAGAGAAGCTGTGGCTGTCACATCCACAGAAGTGTTCAAGACCAGCTTGGACAGGGCTTGGAGCCACCTGGGACAGTGGAAGGTGTCCCTGCCCGTGGCAGGGGGTGGCACTGGATGATCTTTAAGGTCCATTCCATTCCAACACCTTAACATTCCATGACTCTGTGACAATGGCACCACTACCACCAGTTATTAGAAACTTTTTTAAATTAAAAAAGCACTGAACACTGCAGTACTTCAGACCAAGAAAAGCACAGACTGGAGAGATTAGAGAACATTGGCACTACCATTATCATTCTCCAGGAGTATGCATGATGAACAACTCCAAAGCGAAAAATTTGTTTCAATTTCCACAAATTTCAGTTCAAGCAGGCCATACGGGTGGGGGAAACAACTTTGAAAAAGCATAGTAACACTGCTGAAAATGTACAGGATTTAGCTTAGAGAACAGGTGGGCAAGTGCTTGCGGTCAGCATCAGTTGAGGAATCGGTGTGAGAGAGATGTGTGCTAATGTCTTAACAAACAATTCGATGAGTGAAGGCATGGGTGTTAAGGCCTTTGAAATGGATCTCAATGTCTCTATTAACAAGCAGCAGGTTTGCTGCAGAGCTGAAATTGATGAGGGTCGGCACAAGCCTGACCTTCTGAGCACCGGGGGAAAATGACATGTTTATGGGAGGGAACGCGTGCCAAGCGGCTCGGGAAGGCTGCACCATCCCAGCACCTCAGCACTGGGAAAGGACGAGGGCAACGAGCGGCCGGGAGTGTGGGATAAAAGGGAGATCCTCGAGAGAGAAAAGGGCGTGTGGCCTCTCCCTTTATTCGAATAAAGTTGCAGCACTCTGTCTCTTTTCTGGACAATGATTTTTCATAGCGTGATTTTCCGTATGACTCTCTCCGGGGCCGGGGATGGGGCACCCTCACGGGCCGTCTCCGGGGCCGGGGATGGGGTACCCTCACGGGCCGGGGCCGGGGCCGGGGTGCCCTCACGGGCCGGGGCCGGGGCTCGGCAGCCGCCGCCCGCAGAGCCTCTTCCGGCCGCTCCAGCCTCCGTCTCTATGGTTGTTCCTCCCGCTCCTCCCTGCGGGGCGGCGGCGATGGCGGAGCCGGGGAGAGCCGGCGGGAGCCCCGAGCCCCCCGTGCAGGTGGTACGTGACCGGCGGGCCGGGCCGGGGTGCTCCGGGCCGGGTGTGCCCGGGGCGGACACGGCAGCTCGGGCGGGGCCGGGGCTGGCCCGGGAGAGCTCTCCCGGAGGGCTCGGTGCCGGCAGGTTCGGGTACACGGGGCTGGCAACCAAAGCCGTAAAATCTTCCTGCAACACTTCCTGTTTTTCTTACTTCCCGTACCTATATACATATATACATATATATACATATATATATACACATGCATATATATGTGCATACAGTGTGTGTGTATATATATATATATATATACACACACACTGTATACACATATATATATATAAAATTTATATATATATACATAATTTTTTTTTCTATGTGCGCACTTATCTATAAATTAAACACATAAATAAAGTTAAATATACGACGTCTATCTCTATCTGCTCCTATGTAGCTATATAAATAGAAATATAAAAATACAGAAATATACGTAATATTTGTCTAGAATGTGTGGAGTTCAGGGAAAAACAGGTCGTGTCGCAATGCTCAAGCCCAGGTTTGATTCACGGCTCTGTTTCAAGAGTCATATTTGGCTCACAGGCCATGAAACTCCTCTGTTGGATGCTGCTGTAAATAAATCAGCCTCAGCTAATGAAATGGTAATTGTGACTCAGATCACTCAGATTGTCACTCAGATGATTTGTAATGCCAAAAGCATATTGTATGCCTCCAATACTCAAAATTACTTTAAGAGATTTACACTCTCCATGGTTCACTGTTTTGGTAGCAGTCTTCAAACACAGGAAGGGCTGCTGCAAGGAGAACTAGAATTAACCATCTGTGCTGGGATTGGGAAGTAGGAGTTGGCATAAACTGTAGCAAAAGAACACTGGGAAAACCATTCTGGGTTTCCTTATGCCTGCTTTTAGTGGATGCCTTAGCAAGGTTGGTGTTTGACCCTGGAGAGAGGGTTTGTCAGCAGCGTGGTTGATCTTGTTTTGGGACAGAAGAAGCAGACACAGTCTCTGGAGGTTAGTACCAGCTGGTATTTTTGCTATGAGACTGTACCTGTAAGTGAAAGAGTGCCCTGGTTCATGTTTCCCCCCTCTTTAAATGGTCCAAGGAGATTGAGTTATTCTGGTACAGTCACACAACATTAAAAGCCAATTTATGACTGTCCAATTGCAGCTCTTAACCCAGGGTAAAAATCTGGTAATGAACGAGGGAGAAATGAAAGTCTAGATTGTTGATTTCTCCTCAATCTAAAACTAAACACAGAACACCAGTGAGCTGAACAGCAATGGTGGAACCTAAGAAAACTCTAGTAAACATCATCAGGAATACTCTGAAGTGTTAATCCTATTGCTAAGTACAGTTATTTGTGTGGATTTGTTGATTTTTCAGGTTTTACACAGAAGTATCATCAGCTCTGGGCCTTAGTTTGGCAGATGTCCAGTTCTGCATGGTGGTTGTGGTTCTGTGGAAGTAGAATTTGCTCACAGTAATGTATTTAGGAGCATTTTAATATATTACGAGCAGTTCAGTTCAGAGCACCTCAGTGCCATCAGGTATTTATGGGTTGTTTTATATGTGCTGCCCTCAAAGTACTTTTTTCTGCTTTCAGTTCAAACTAAACAGGGAGGTCAAACATCATCTTGCTATTTTGCACTGCTGCCCTGACTTAAAACAGGAGTGCACCATGGAAAAAAAGCAAAGAAGTTCCAGTTTTCAAACCAATGGCGAGCTAGTTGGTGATGGCTTAGTCAAATTTTTACTAAGTGAATCAGAAAACAAATTGAAAAATAACTGATTTTTCTTGATGTGCAAAAGTGCACAAGTTTATATTGTCATTGGAAGAATTGTGGAACCCTTTTTTCTTTAATGAATATGTTAGATTGATTGGTATGAATGTGTAGGGTCATACTTAATTGCCATGTCCACATAAAAAATATTAAAATCTTGAGTAAGTTGAATATAGTCCTTCAGATTTGCAGAATTTTTCTTTTATTTTAGTCTCAAAGTACTTATCTGAGACAGTTTTGAAGTAATCTTTTTTGTCTATATGTTGTAATTATTGGGTAATCAGTTTAATTTTTTTTTCTCCCTATTTTATTTATCTCTCTAAAACACAAATCAAAGGCCTACTTTACTTAAAAGTTTAGAGAGCTTTTGTCCCACTTCTTTTAAGAACTGTTCCATCATCCTGCCAAAAATCAGAAGGTTCATTCATTTCAGGTGTTGGCTATTTTATTTGTTTGTGAAATGTTAATCACTGTACCCTACAGAGGACTGGGTTGTACCTGTGTGCACATCCCTCAGTGTCCAAAAATCTGCCTTCTGATGGCTGCACCTGTGTTTGCACAATGTACATGTGTTCACATGGCACTAAATTGTGAATAATTCCATTTCAGTATCCCAGCGTTTTGTTTCTCAGGATTCTCTCCTGCTCACAATAGGAACAAATCCTCTCTTTCTTCCAGCCATGCGTTTGTGGTTACCCCACATAATGAGGAGTTTAAGTTGTGTTTCTAGGGACTTCTTGAAATGTCCCATGAGACTTTTTAGGAGTTACTTAGGCCCTTAAGTTCCCCATCTAAAAGTAATTTTAGGAGGTACAGCCTTGGCTCTCCCTTTGCAAACACAGCCAGTGTACCACCAGCTGATTTCTCAGGCCTTTGCACGTTGTGAAGGAAATGTGTTCTCCTTTGAGACACTGAAAGAATTTTGGGGTTTGTTGGCTTTTTAGGGATAATTAGCTCAGTGATGAGTAACTAAACTTGAACAGATAAAGCCCTCCTCTCTGCTTTCTAACCAATTTTCAAATCTTTCAGGTATGTTTTCCTGCTGTGTGTGCACCTCTGAACCAAGGGGCTGTAGGAGGAAAGCTGGGATGGCAGAGTGTGGAGCTACATCACAGATCAACTTCCAATGTGCTTTAGAGCAGTTGGAGGTGGAACAATTTTTAAAATCTTGCTGCATATATGAGCATCTCCAATTAGGCTTGAAGAGAAATTGATGAGTAAGATGTATTAATGGAGGACAAAAGTGAGGAGTGTCTTAAGAAATGCAGGAATACAAGAAACAGGTCAGGGTGGTGTTGTAGATGTTTCATTTGTGGGTTTGCTTCAGGGATCTGTCTTATTTCCTTGGACTTCTACCAAAAACCATCTTGTTTAATTTAATTTAAAAATAAGCTTGATAGAGAAGAAAGCAAATGATATATTTGTAATGAAAATAAAGGTTCTTTGCCCACTTTTATATTAAGATGCATTCTTTGGTGAAAGTTAGTTTCAGAAGGATCTGCTACTTCTCCTTTTTACTAAATATACAGTGAGTAAACAAAAATATGCTTCCTGACATGCATGTGGATTTCTGTTTGTTTTTTTTTGTAGTCTATCATTGTGCCTGTTCACAACAGTGAATGCTGGTTAGATGAATGCCTGAAGTCAGTTTGGGAACAAGATTTTAAAGGAACCATGGAGCTGTCAATTTTTAATGATGCCAGTAAGGTGTGTTTCAGACCTTCTTTAAAATACTGTCCAAGTAAATACTGTCTGACAAGAATTATTGGCTCACTTCAACACACAAATTAAAATAGCTGCATCTGTGTCATTATTTTTTCTAGGATGGTTCAGCTGAAATAATTGAAAAATGGAAGATCAAGTTGGAAGAAGTTGGTGTTTCAGTAATCGTTGGAACCAACAATTCCTCTCAGCCTCGAGGCGGTATGTAGCTTCATTTTGTGAAAGTTTGGTTCTTATTGCAGGCACCTTCTGATTTTTAGTTTGAAAAGTGTCTTTGTAGCCATTTCCACTGCAATGGAAAAAACCCACATTGTTTTCTAGAGCTCTGTTTGAAAACTCATTCCAATTTGAATTTGGCCCTGTTGCTTTGGGCTCTGTAGAATTTGTTTATGTGTTCAAGGAAAGAAGAACTTGGCTTAGCACTTGTGTGCTCTACTCTGCAAAAGCAAAAGAATTTTGTTTAATTGTAGGATACACAATGTTGTTAATGCTTACAATTTTACTGTGGCTTTCTGATATCTGATTTATCTTCAGGAGATGGGTTCTAAAATAAAAAATACATTAAAAATTCCTTGCATAAGGACTTTAAAAGTAAATGCATATCTTTCAGTCCAGTAAAATAGACCCTGAAATAGAAAACAAATATATTTTTGATATTGCTTCGATGATCAAATCAAAACAGAGGTTTCAGAAGTTTTGATGTGAGCTAAAAACTCTCACTGAAGTCCCAAGTGTTCACTCAAAGGGCTAAACCAATATGTTTAGTGAGCTGTCAGACAGGTGTATGATGTGATCCCCTATTCATTTGCATGCTAATATGAATTATCTCCCACTGCAGAAGATTACAAATCTCTTTAGACAGATTTTCTTTTGCTTGCTTTGGTTGGTTTATGCTTGGGGGAGTTTTAGCACAAAATCTTCCTAAAATGTAAAACAGAAATAAAAGTCAGTTGGTTTTTGGAGAAGCTGTTGTTGAGTGACAGTAAAATTGGAAGATCACAAAGGAAGAGCAGTGTGCTCACATTTTGTGCTGGGGCTGTGTAACCAATGTTTCTGTCATTCTGGACTTTGTTTTAATGAATAGACAGGTAGGAACTGTTGCTTCCAAGTTTGTGTCTTTGAAGTCGTCTCTTAAAAGTCACATTTTGGAAACACTGTAACACAGAATTTGGACAGTTTCTGTTTTTTTCACGGCATGTTCTGTTTGAAGTGTAAAGAAACTTAGGCTCATTAGAGTCTCCTCAAATGATCTGCTTATGCAAAAGCCCACTTCTGTTTCAGAAAGTTTGCTTTTCATCCCCTGTTGAAACATGCAAATAAATTGGGAGTTTGTGCACTGAATTCATCTGCAACCTGGTCGAGGCCCCTGGTTTATTTACTGCCATTTCTCCTGACTGTAGGCTTTACATCTGTTTTTAAATAGTTGTCAGACATAACAATACTGAAGTTACACAGCATAACCCTTACTATAAATATTTTTAGTATTTTAATACCTTTAGCATGAACTGGTGTTGTTTTGACAGTGCAGCTTGTAATATTAGAGCTATTGGGCTGGTAATGACAAAAGGCAGACAAGGTTTTTAGAGGGAATTTTTCTCTTTTGGGCAACTGATACAGCTGGAGTTGAGCAATGTCAAGAATTACACATAATCCTGTAACTTTTTCTTCTTTTTCTCCCCCCTCTGCTATTGGGTGATCAGTTTCTTTTCAAAACTGACTCCTTTTACTGATCAAGAAACTACGTAGGTTACAATTTCTTAAATCAAAGAATAATCCCAGAGGTTGTTAATTCTGATACTTAAGATAGTAATGTTTCTGCTAGTACCATCGTGTTGTGTAACATATTTGCCATTTTTATAAACATTTGCTATGTCTAAAGTCTTGTTGCTACTAGAGTGTTGTATTAATTGTGTATAAACTAGGTTTTAGTTTGCCAGGACACACAAGCAGGATGGGGTTTTTTTGTTTTGTTTTTTTGGTGTGTTTTTTTTTTTTAATTTTAGAATTCTGATGTCTGTTCACCTTTGCACTTCAGGAAACTGAACCTAAAACTGAGTTCCAGCTGTGAATTCCATTGTGCCAGTAGGGATATGTCAGATTCTTTTTTGGTTTAGCATGCATTTCTCAGTGTTGGGGTAGCTGGAGACTGAACAGATCTTTCAATAAATTGGGCGTGGGAGGGGCTGTGCACTATTTAAATACATAATTTAAATAATAGTGTGAAATGCATAGTTCTGCTAAAAAACAAACCCAGGCTTATCCATGTGAGGGACACTCTCAGGTCACCATTAAAACAAGGACATCTTTGCTTCATGCTTGTTAAATTTTAGAAGCAGGTTACTTGACATCCATAGGATTTGTTTGCTTTTGGTGATTTACTTTCATTTTGTTAAGGACTAGGTACAACTGGAAGGAGTCTTGCCTTTAAAAGAAGATGCTTTGGTACAGAAACAATGTACTAGTCAGGCTTCACATCTTCAACTATTTACACAAGATTAGGATTTATTTCTGATTCTTTTCTAACATGTAAAAGAAAGGGGGGGAACCTTGGAAAAAAAGAAAGGGTCACTTGCCTAAAAAAAGGAAACCTTTTTCTTTCCAAGAGTAAGGAATGTTAATATCTCACTGAGGCTTAAGTTTTTACGGCTGTAACCATGGTAACAGGCTCTTTTCACCAAGTAAGCAGGCCTTACAAAACTCAGAGACCTGGCACAAACATTTCATTTTGTTCAGTAGAGTAATATTAAAGAATTTTTTTTTACTCATGCCAAACACAGAATTTGTTGTGGTGAAAGATTTTTTAATACCTAGTTTCTTCTATGAGGAGTTATATTTATCTTCTTAATAATTAAAAAAATATGTGTATTTTCTTCTCTCTCTTTCCTCCAAAAGGTATCTGCTATGAAAAACTTCAGGATGTTTCTGTCTTAAACATAGCAAGAAATATTTTCCAACTCCTTCTCATAACAAATACTAGATATTTCGTGATTTTATTTAAAGTGGTTTATTTGAAAATGCAATCTGAAATACTTCAGGAAGTTCATAGAGTAATATAATTTCGATCTTCTAGCTGCTTTGAAGCCTCCTTCACTCTTTTCTTACATTTTTGATTCCTTGTAATTCATTATTATCCACTGAAAGTTGTTGAAATATTTGTGTGTGTTAATGACAGCACTGAAATGTAAGTCCAGGCTGCTTTACAGCTGCTGTGCCTTCTGCTAGTACTGAAGTGTTTAAAGTCGGGCAAACTTAATTCTGCCATCATTTTTGTGCTGTTCTTTTATCTCCTGCTTTACTAGGGGTGAGTAAAGGATGGGGCTGCTGCTTTGGCGTGCCCAGGCCTGCTGACTTGCATCACTTGTTTCCCACTCCCACTGCTGGTGCCAGGAGCCAGCTCTGCTGCTGGGGCAGCTCCCGTCCCTGCCAGCTGCTTTTTTACTGCCAGTGGGAAGGAGACTGAGAGTTACTGTGTGGATGAGATTCCATATTCATAGGTCTGTAAAAGGTAGAATGTAAACATCCTGTAAAATAATAAATCCAGAAAACCCACGGTGAAGAGAAGTTGAGGTGAGGATTAAAGTACATGAGAAAAAATAACACGGTTCTAAGGAAGAGCCTTTATTAGTCCTGTTCTGGTGGTAGGTGACATAATGTTCCTTGAGGCAGTAAGAAATGCAGTCATAAGTCTTTTTCTGTACTTGGACAGCTCAGCAAAATAGCCAAGGAGCACGTGCATTACAACTAAGGGAACCTTTGAGCCCAGTTAAATCTGTTTCCTTTTTAAGATACACATTACATATTATATCTTTGGGGATGGCTGGCAAAAGAACTCTTATTCTACTTGATTGTAGAATTCTGGTAGTCACTCAGAGAGCATGACTGACATAGGGCTCCTATTTCAATATTCACAAATTACCTTGCTTTAAATATGGAAAAATCTGGTACTTTATGTGATATTGATTTTTGTATTTTCTTGCATTTGTTCCTCACTTTATTAAGATTTTAAAAGATGCAACAGTAAAAACTCCTCCGTATTTTTATCTTTGCTTTCTCAACAGTTGGATTTGCTAAAAATCAAGCAATAATTCAGAGCTCAGGAACCTATCTCTGCTTTCTGGATTCAGTAAGTTAATGCTTTTTGTCTAACTTGGTTTTGTCAGTATAATCCTTTCCTTTTTAATGGAGTTGCTGATTTGCTGGAGGACAACCTGCTTAAAGGAGTTTGTTTAATGTGCTGGTTGCTATTTATGGCTGTAAAGTTGTATTCCAACCTGTAGAAAGCCTTACATCATTCTTTGATTATATCAGATTTCACAAGCTGCTGTGAACAGGGCTGGGCAAGGTTGCTATTTAGGTGTTTTGAGGATTTTTCTTTCCCACATTCTTCAGAAAATTGTATTGATGAGAAACTAAGAGCTAATCTACTGGCTTTTTGATGTAAAATAGGAGAAGTCTCACCTTCCAAGCTGAATTTTTTCCCCCTGTCCTTTGTTGGATATCTTCTGTGAAGCCATTCAGCTCGGTAACCCCCAGATAAGGATCTCACTTGGAGCAGCTGAATATGCAGGAATGGTTTCACAGAGGTGCCCAGCTGAGCACAGGAGTGGGGCCGAGTGCTGGGAGCAGGCAAGAAGAGCAGGACCTTCAAGGCTCACTGATCTCCTGTAATTTCACCTGAAGATTGATTTTTTTTTTTCCCTCTGAATTGGAACTGAGCTATGGGTTAGGGTGGTACAGGATGAACTGGCTGCTGACGGGGTTGGTTTTCAGCTACAAGTCAACTGAATATTGTGATTGTCTGTGCTTGTTAAAAAGTGTTCTGAGAGCAGGTGTGTGAACTCTACAGCCATTCTCAGGTTTTAATTAGGGAAATCCTTCAGTCTGCAAACTCCACCTTCGTTATCAACTTGATGGAAGAAATTTTTTTTTTGTTCATATGCTAAAATGTTGTGATTTTTGTGATTTTTGTCAGTGAGGCTGTTTACATGTCTAAAATGAAAAAAAAAAAAACCCAAGGGAACTTATGATTTGCAAAGTTTGGGTATCCTAGGCTTGCATTACATTGCACAGGGCATTCCAGGGAGTCTGTAGGATGAGCAATGTGTGTACCTGACCTGGCTGAAGTTATCTGAGTAGATGAATAAGAAATTAATCTACTCTTGTCCTGTGAAGCTTCATATCTTCTGTCTCAAATAAGTATAGCATGATGTACTGAAGTAAATGATGGGTTAGTCTTTCTTTTCCATCCAGACTGATCTAGTTGTTTGACAATCACTAGCAGTAAACTGGAAAATCAAATTCTCCAAATGAAGTTAATTCATATTTTTATAGTGATTCTATAGAATTCACAGTTTGTTATTTACCATATATTAAAATCTTCCTGCTGCTGTGTTGTTTCTGTTGGCTGACTATTGCAGGAAAACAAAACATCAGGGAAGCAAATTGCAATTATTATGGGATATAACTGGTAATGATACTGTATTTCTGCAATACTGTCATTAGCAGAAGTTTATATTTGATATTATCAAGAATTACTTGAAGTGATTTGAGGATTTTATGGTTTATAGTGTGGATAAGCTTAGGAGAAGTTACCAAGATTTTCTGTTCTATGCATTTCTATTGCTTCTTCAAATCAGAGGCATTCTGGACTACCAGAAGCCTTGTTACAAAAGAAATATTAAATACCTGCCATTACTTAAATGTATTTTCTATTGTCTCCCCTTGTGCCTACCATGTTTTGCTGAAAACAGATCAGAGCAAATAAAATGGATGTGGAAACTGCTGCAAGTCCAAGAATTGCTCAGTGTTTTGGCTGTAGTTAGTAAACTTTGTGTGATAGTAGCTGGGACCCAGATGTTGCCAGCTGTTTAACAACTCTGCTTCCACACAGCACCTACCTTCTTCATTTCAGTCACCAGTGCAGCATCCAGCTCTCTAGGAAGGAATGTTGATATCAGCCAGTTGGAATGTGCTGCAGTAATGCCAAGGAATTGACCTTCAGAAGTGCAGCCACAATTTCAGGTTTGCCACAGGTGGATGTGGAGAGGAATGGAGCTGGGGCTGTTTGTGCACATTACAAATAGGTGGGGAAATGCATTCCTGGCTTTTTATGCATTCTTTGTTTTCTCTGTGAAGTGAAATGAGTGGATGAGCATATTTGGGAGCATCTTTGGAAATGCTGGCTCCAGCAAGGCTGTTTCTGCTTGCCATTCCAGCTGGAGCCAAGCTGCTCGTGTTATGTCTCTCAACACAGATTTCTGAGGACAACAAACTGGGAAGAAATGTGGAAAAAAAAAGGTTACAGGTCTCAGAACTGTCAGAATTTGATCAGCCTTTTCTAGTATGAAGTGGCAGCTGTTGGACTAACAGCTATTGTGGAGTTTTTTTACTGTGGTTGTTGTTACAGATTTCACCTCCAAGCTACTGAGGCATTTTTTCCCCTCTGGGAAAACAAGTAGAAAAATTGAAGCTACTTAACGATTTTTTCATATATAACATTTATAATATGGGAAAATGAGGGCTAATTTTGCAAATATATTTCACTGTTAACTTTTCTTCTTCAAATTGTCTGCAGTTCTGACTTTATCTGCAAGTTTCATTGTACTGTAGCTGTAGTTTGTCACTTCTCTGGGGTGGTGCCATCTTTGTTAGAAGCATTTACCCACTTGCAGCACAGCAGAACTCTTACACTAAAAATTCTGCTTTGAACTGCTGTTTTCATTGACATGCACATAAACGTGCCTCTACTTGTCTGAAACTGTATTTCTTTAAAATGGATCATACTTCCATTTCATCCTAATAATCTGTGTAGTTTCCAATTATTTCAGGTTTATTCAGTGTGTTGTTGGAGAGTTCCTTTCTGTTAAAGAAGAAACATAAAATGTGTCCTTTTTTGACCTGCAGTGTCTCAAGTTATAATCACTTGAGAACTTAACATGCCTGTTTTAATCTTTTGAAAGGCTCTGTTGGCAACATATCACAATTTCAGAGATTCTCAGGCAGTTCAAAGACATGACTTTAAACCATTTTGCCATAGTGTCAGTTGCTAATAGTCAAAAATGCCGTGGGGACACAGGTAAGTTTTATTCACCAAAAACGAGGGTGAACCACAGCAGATTTGTCATTCTTGTGATGGAATTGACCTGTGCCTTTTGGTGTGGGAGATTTGTTTGCATGGTTTAAGTTTGTAATTCTTAATTGCTGTGTGCATAATTGCCTTATTTCAAATTGCATGTGTTTCTTGAGGTTCAAGTTGAAACCCACCTCGTTGAGGGGTTGTTGCTAAAGGCCTTGGAGGAAGGTGGTTGGACCTTCTCTAGCCAGATGTGTCAGGCACACTCAGTTATAAACAGATTGTTTTTCCAGCCTCTGTAACTTCCTCGGTTTGGAAGCATGGATTTCCTCTTAGTTGCCATTATACATTACAGGCACTAATAAACTTCTGAAATATTCCTCCTTTCTTTCAAATTAGTCTATTTCTTAGGAAGTGAAGATGTGATCAGAGTTCATGTATTTCCTTTCTGTTGTTGTTTAACATACTGTTCCTTGCGTTGCCATTATGCATTACAGGCACTAATAAACTTCTAAAATATTCCTCCTTTCTTTCAGATTAGTCTGTATTTCTTAGGAAGTGAAGATGTGATCAGAGTTCATGTATTTCCTTTCTGTTGTTGTTTAACATACTGTTCCTTGGGAACTTATCCCCTGATTTAAAAACTGAAATAAGCTGTTACACAAAGAGCAGGTGTGGATGTAGTGGTGAACTCCATTACCAGAAAAGTTGTCCATGTTTCCTAAGCACTAATGAGCCCCAAAAAGTCAAAATATGAATGCTTGAAGGCATCATCCCTATCATTGTTTTGTAAAGATGTGCTTGTATTTAAACCAGATTAAATGCCTCTCTCTGGTATGAAATGTTAAATAAGCAAACCTTCACAATTTGGTTGCCATAACCTCTCCCTACATGTGTCTTCATCTATTCAGTAGTTAGAGGGCATTTGGAATCACTGGTGAAGCTTTTACTCTTGTCTGGGTTTACTGGCTTTGCTGCTGAACACCCTGTGAGTTGCCTGCTTCACTTGGCTGCAAACACATACTTTTTTTCAGTGATCTAACTGTGACAAAATAATCAAAGGTGATCTCCAGTGAGCACAGAAAAGCAAGATATGGAAAGGCATGTGTCTGCATGTGTTGAATAAATGCACTGAGGTGGGAGCTGCTTCTACAGCAAAAGTTTCCCGACTAACTAATAGTGATGCTTAATTAAAAGATTCCATTAAAAAGATTGTCAGGCTCATAAGAGCACCACATAGATCTTTCCATGTAGACCTGTTTGTTGCTATGCTCAAAAAAAAGGAGGTGCTCAATGCAGTCAGCTTCTTAAATTTGAAATGGTTTCTTTGTTGTCCCCTTCTTTCTCAGTTTAATTTGGGAGCAGAAACAGAAAAGTAGCATTTTTTTCTTACGATCTTGCACGTACTGACGGATGATTAGTCTCAGGTGATTTGTGGGTGCCATTTGTGTGCCTGGCCCCAATGAGTTTGATAGTGTGGGGCTGTTCAAACACCAGCCCCTGGAGAATTGCTGGGATCAGGCTATTTCCTTCAGCAGAGCTGTTGACAGGCCCGTTTCTGGAGGTCCCAGGCATTTCACTTTCCTGCTTCGAGGAGCTGAACTGAACAATAGCAAAGAAAGATTTTCCCTCCAGTCTGAGCAGGTGCAGGATAAATGAATGGACCGTTTGATGAATTGAAAGATTTTGGAGATGCCATATTGTTGCTCAGTGAGTGAAGCATTCCTCCCGCTGTTGCTGCTGGTTGTATTTTGAATTTAACAGCTGTAATGGGAAGAAGGTGCTGTTGTTATGGGAGTGGAGTGTATCAACTCCCAATCCTTTTTTTTCATTTTGAGAAGCCCAATATGAAGAACTTTGGAAAAGTCCAAAATGACATGCTGAGTCTGTAATGTCAGCTTAAGGAAGCACCTCAATACTGACCTGTAATGTTTTGTTTTCTGTGAACTTGCCCTTGGTTGCAAAAAGTAGATGTGTATTGTGCACTGAATTATGTATTTGTCTTACTTTCTCAAGTGTAGAAGCACCAATTTTTAAGGGAAGATGATGAAGTTACCACTCAGGAGCCCAATGTGATCCACACAGCCTGGCTGAAGAGGCCAGCTTTTATATTCCAAGATTAAGAAAGGCATGCATTTATTTAGCATTTATTTTAAATTTCTTTTCTTTTGTCTATTCTTTCCATGGAAGAAATTTCTCTTCATCCTGTATATCTACTAGAGGACAATCATTAGAGACTTCCATGTGAACAGAGAAAACTGGATTTTATTGTAAACTTCTGTTTTCTTAAAATTATTTTTCAATGTAAGTCACTGCTACTATTGTTATCTTCCCTACTCTCACCTAGGAAACAGAAACAAACTAAATATACTTCCCTTTTTGTATAGGCTCTCTTTTTCCTGTCTGAAATGAGTGAAAAATAATTTGGAAAGTGTTTGCCTGATTACTGAGGTTTTGTTCTCAGTGTTAAACCAGAAAAAAAAAAGATCAAACTCTGCTGTAGAAACTGAAGTCTGGTAACACATTTGCTGGATTCAATATCATAATGCAACAGCTTTGATAGAAAATTTGTGGTTCATCATGTACTGTTGGGTAAAGTATTTTACCACCTTATTTATTTTATACTAAAGTTGTTAAAATTCCATAATTTTTTTAAGGTGCTCTTAATTTGTGGTGCAATCGCTTTGGTTTTACTCGTTCGGATTTATTTTGGTTTTTAAATATCAATCCTAAATCCATCCTAAGGTTATTTCCCTATAAATGCATTTATGAATGCAAGGTCACCTTTCCAGGCACACATAGTGAGGAATCTGTCAAAGCTGGATTTTGCAGTTACTTTGCTGGTACCAACCTGAATCCAAAGAAGCTGATTGATGGTTGCATCTCATTTCTGTCTGGGGTGTGATTTATATTTTATGCTCATTATTATATTACTCATTAGTATTGTATGTAGCATTAGTACATACTAAATATAGTATTATTATATTACTCATTATTATACTATTTGAGATTATGTCCTAAACTATTATATTCTTTTTTCCCCCCATATTTCTTTCTTTTTCCATGAACTCAGAACCATCCAGCAGTGCAGAGTGTGTGTAAAGCTGCTAATAAAAAAATGAGACAGAATTATTAAAAGAAATAAAGGTCATCCAGGGTAAGAGTTCATAGAGTTTTCCAGCATTAGAGAACAAAGCTGTATTAATAAAAAGAGGCATTTAGAAGTTTTTTGTGGTTCTAGTGCCCCCTCTTTAGCTGGAGTTTACAGAGTGCTGATGCTCTCTGATAGCCTAAGCCCCAGATCTGTGAGTTTTGCCAACAGCATCAAACTGACCCAGTGTTTTCTTAGGGGAACGGGGCCATTCCTGCCAAACTGGGTGGTTATGAAAACATGACATCGACCTCTTTGGTGCATAGGTTATTTTGATTTGGTTTGAATGCTTTCCATGCTGATTTAACCTTTTTAAATCGAGTATATTATTTTTCATCTTTGAGAATGTGAGAGTTCTCTCTGTTGTGTGGGATCGTGAGCAGAGAGATCTTTTAGCACAAGAGCAAATGTCTCTTGTAAAAGATGAGGGCAACATTGTTCTGAGCATTGAAATTCCTGCATTTTTGGTGGATTTTCCCCTTTTTTATCCCTTTTCCCCCCCTTTTTCCCCCCTTTTTCCCCTTTCCCCCCCTTCCCCCCCCCCTTTTTTTCCTTTTCTTCCCCCTTTTTCCCCTTTTTCCCTATTTTTCCCCCCTTCCTTTGGATATTTAGCAAGAAAACATCTAAGGCTCTTTAGCAGCTTGTAAAGGAGTGAACACAGTTCAGTTAAAATATATCTGCTATTGCTTATATGAAAAGCAGGTTTTAATTTACAAAAATCAGCTCTGCATTTGGAGTAAAGAAATAGGATTATGGTTCTTCTTGTGGGAAGTAGGGTAAAGGTTTTATGGGAAGACTGGCTTGATACTGGAATTCTGGTGCTCTGTTGATAAAGTGGATGAGGTGGTAAATAATATTATTGTAGTTTTGAAGTCATGGGAAATCAGAAGAGGTTTTTGCTCTATTGGCTTTGAAAATCAGGAACAGCTGTCATGTTTATTACTAAACATATCCTAAATGCAAAATACAGGAAAATGCTTTTGACAACATAGTCCTCCCATCTTTTATAAACTTATGTGTGATAGGAGTCAGTTTTATTATTATTTTGTTTTATCTTTAACCTTGAATTGTATTAAATAGTTGGACCTACTTCTGAAACTTTTTTTATCATGCATTGTTTTGATAAAACTATAGGGGCACCTTTATAGCAAGGTCAATCAACTCTTCAAGCTGTAGATATTTAAACACTAATATATTTTTTGTTTCTGTTGACTTGAAGGGAAGTTTTAATGCGAAAGTGGTTGGAAATTCAATATTGAGGGTTTGTGCTTTAATAGGAAAATCAGAATTATTTCAGTTTGAGGAACTGTCAAAAGGGTGTCTGTAGGAATTCAGGGCTCCTTTGAGTTATGTTTGCCTGATTAAGTTTATTTGGAAATACTCAGAGAAGAAATAGGCTGTGTTAGCTTTAACCAGAATCTCAAAAGGACTGATTCTTTAAAAGGGGGGAAATATGGCACCAACATGGAAAAGAATATAGGGAGAAACCTCAGGGGCCTAAATTTAGGGAATAAAAATTGTGCTATATTTTCTATAAACTGTAAAATCACTGTCTAGAAAGGATTTAATTTTGAACAGGAAATAATATAATTTTGAAAGGAATCTCTCCTAACAGTTCAAGGCAGAATAGCAAAGTTACTGACTTTTCACAAAACAACCCATCCTTTTGTATGTAAATAGAACAGATCTTTATGCTGCAAGTGGGAGAAGTACTAACCCAAAATTTAAATCCAGGTGGTGTGTTTTAAAGCCAGTGTCAATGCTAATGCATTCTATGAGAGTGGGTACTTCCCTTTTTTCCTTTTCCTTAGAATTTTCTCATTTCACAAGTACTAGTTTTTATGCCCATGAAATATGACATATTTTTAGATCTAGAAACCAAAGGCTTTTTATTTTCAGTGGAAGAGGGCACAGCCAGATTACAGAGGACATTTCCTCCGTTGCTACGTCTCAGATCTCATGGCTTTAACTGAGGGTAGTTCCTTGTCCTCACACTGGCAGTGCTGCTGGGGCAGTTGTGAAAGACTTGGAGAGTTTCTTGAGAAATAAATGTGAAATGTGTGGGTGCCTGTGGATGTGTGTTGAGATCACAGCACCGTTGTCACGTAGTAGTTTCCATCACTTCCAGCTCCAACAGCACCCAGCTTAATCCACAAAAAGTGTGAAGTCTCTTCATATCTGTTCCATTTGCATTTCTGACTGCGAGCCAGTAAAATGATGTTCATTTAGCAACATATTCTAAAGTGTGTCAGTAGTGTTCTGTGACCCTTTTTATGTTCAGTAACAGTGTGCTATTTATTCCAGGATGATGTGATGATGCCACAGCGGGTTAGGCTGCAGCACGAAGTTGCCATTCAACACCCAAACAGTGTGAGTACTTTTTTCTTGTGTGCATTTCTGGGTTTTTCTTTGACAGAGTTCCGGATACATCTTTAAAAGGATATGAAAATTTCACAGTGGGGCTGGGGGAGGCAAAGCAATAACCAGTGTATTCTTTTCCTTTATTTTTAATCCTTGCACTGAATGGGAGCTTTGATTGAACTTCTTTTCTTCCTTTTATTTTCTCTCTTCAGAAAACCAGATCGCATTACAGCAGTGATACTCTTTAGCAAATAAGTATATAGGTTTGGCTAATGTCTGTAATCTAAAGGAGAATGCCTTTTTTATGGAGCCTTTCTAAGTCATGTGAAAAGCTGCAAAGGATTGGCTACAGCTATGGTTTATCTGCTTTTAATAATTAAGGAACTGTAAACCATAGGGAATGTGTGGGTTGTTACCACGGATGAACTGCCTACAGTTCAGCTGATGGTTCTCTCTATGTCTGCCTGTAAAATGAAACATTATTAGAATTCCATTTTTTATTCCTGTGAAATAAACTGTCAGGAATATTCTGTGAGTTTTTCTCTGATCTATATAATTTTGGTTTTATATGATTTTCTGTGATTAGGGGCAGTGTTCTTCAGAGAGAGTTTGTGCATATGTTCTACTTATCCAAAGATTATATACATATATATATATAGATACACACACACACACACACACACACATATTCAAAGATTTTATATATATAAAAAATAACTTGGCCATTAATTATATAAATAACTATGGCAGTTAACTAATTTGTCAATACTACTGACAAAGATAAGTATATAAATAACTATGGCAGTTAACTAATTTGTCAATACTACTGACAAAGATATTCCTTTATAAACTTGAAAACTGAGTTTGTTTTGTCAGCAAAGTCAGCCTTATTGTTTCCACATCTCTGACATTTTCTCTTGTGATACTTATTTCAATGTGCCAGAGGTTTCTGGAAAGGAAAGGTCTGATGACTTGGTCTGTCATTAAGGTATTTTCTGCAGGTATCTGAACAAAACACACAGTTTTAGGATTATTGCTCTTTGTCAACTAAACACCTTTTGAACTTTTTGAACTCCAACAGACACTTTTTTTGGCTGAGGAATGTCTGCCAAACAACCTGCTGCTTAGTGGTGGGATGTGTACCTGCTCCTCACCCCACCTGTATTTGGGCTCTTCTGAAATCTGATCATCCTTACAATGGGATTTATTAAATTGGAGCTTTAATAGTACCTGAGTAGCAGTTAACCTAACTCACATTTCAAGCACAATAAAATGATAAATCCAAAGTTGTTTTTGTTCTGATATCCATCAGTTAATGTAATTTTGCAGTCAGATGCCAAAAAAACCAGAAAGGCAAGTTGATCCAGTATTCTTTTTTATGGAAATTAGTGCTAAGAGCTATCATATTTCAGTTTGGTCCAGAGCCCCTCAACAGTTCTGACACAACTTTGAGAAAAGTTGGCCTGGTCACAATTCTACTGACCAGTGGCAGGGTGGACTTCTGTTCTTAAAAGAATGATCTCTGCTGTCCTCAGAATAATCATGTCGTTCAATTTTCTGGCCTTGGAAGATGTTTGGGGATGTTTGAATGAAGTTTTGTTCTGTGGTAGAAGTTCTGGCTTGGCTTCAGTCAGTCTGATAAACCAGAGTAGGTGGAGGGGCAAAAAAAACCCCAAAAAACAAAGGAAAAATTAAAACAAAAAGCAGAAGGTTGAGAAATGCCTGTGAAGCAGTGAGCTTTTTTGGTTTGTTCCTGAAATTCTAATTTGCAGACTTGCACTTTCCACTGTTTTGCAACTTCTCCTGACCTGGATTTTTGACTTTATGCAGTCTCAATATACTTTCAGAAATTTTATTCCTAATCCTAGTCCTGCTGATTGTTACTGGGAGCCAGATTTGAAGAGCAGTGCTCCCAGTGGGTCCTGATATTGTAGGCTTCAGTCTGCAGTTGTTATTTTGATCTACAGGTAGGAAAAGTCTCCAACTTTGCCCACCAAGAGAAATCTCCCAGGTTCTAAGTAATCCCTGAGGTTCTTTCTCTTTTATGTTACTCTTAAATGCAAATTGCTTTACTCTGATTTGAACAACTTTTTAACTTTGGAGTAGCCCAGGAAATTATTTCCCAAACCATACACACTGTGCAGGTTTTCACTCTGCCTCTCATTAATTCTGTTATTTAATTTCAACAGTGCTACCCTCTGAGAACTCCCAAAGCTTTTTGTTTCAAGGAGAGAGGGGATGTCAGCTGGATCTGCTCCCTGCTTGCCTTGTTGCTGATGCTTCCAGCAGGCCCTGCTCTGGGCATGCTGAAGGAGAATCACTGCACCTGGGAATGATCTTGGAGACACCTAGTAACATTTAAGAGCTTATAAAATAACTAAACTTTTCCTCACTGTCTCCTACCTCAGTGAGAAAACAGCTGGAGTGAGAATGAGGGCAATAGAAATAAAGAACATGATTTCCTTTTGTTTTCTCTGGCTCTGTAGGAGGTGACTCAGCAGTGTCACAATGAACACCTTTCTATTTGCTATGAAATTGCAATCCTCTGTCTCCAGCAGGTAGGATACCTGGGCGTGTGAGAGAACATGAATATACATTTGCATTTCTTCAATGAGCAATTCTCACTATTTTGCATCTCTAAAGCAGATTTTTGGCATATTCTGTAGCTTGGCTGCAGATCAAGAGCAGCAATGCCTAAAGCCATTTTTATCTGTTGATTATCTGCCTGTTAACCAATGCCTGAATTCTGCATATCTTTGATGGTTAATGTGGCTCTGAGATAGTTGACGGGATTGAGTGAACTTGAACAATTCCTGGCTGGCATTGTCAACTGGTGGCTCACAGACCTGTTCACCTGCCCTGGGAGAGCTGAAACAGAAATTGCACAATCGGCCAAGGAATTGGAGAAATCAGCAGATGAATGAGAGCTGAGCTGCTCCTTCCTCTAGGCCAAAGGGATTGGCTCTTTCCCTCCCACCCCTGAACTTCACAAATTAACTACATTTAAAAGTTAAGATGATTTTTTCCTTGTGGTCTGGAAACATAGATTTTTTAATTATGAAAGTCATCATTTAATTTTATTTTTTTTTCATGTCACTGTACCTTGTGCTTGTTGGGACCTGTCACACTTTTCTGCCATGTGTTAGAAAATAGCAAGACTGTTTTTTCCTCCCTCCCTCAGAGAGTGCTCTGCTTACAGAGATCACTAGTTTGAGTCATATCATTCTTTTCTTGTGGCTAAAATGATCAGATCCTCTTGATTCTGTAATTTTGTGGTGTGAAAAGACAGTGTCTGGGAGGTTTTATTAAACTGCCATAAAGCAGAACTGCATAGTGCTGAATGTTACCTCTCTGTCCTCCATTTAAATTCAGTTCTGTACCTCTGTTTAATTTGCATCCTTCCTGTGTTCAGTGAGGTTGTTGGTGACCTTCTCTCATTCTATGTCTTTAATTCTGAAGTCCAGGTTTTACCATCTCCCCTTAAATGCTTTGTCCTCCTATTGTGGCACATAGCTTAGCAGATTTTCCTTTGATAAATGCTTTATTTTGGATGTGAAGTTGATTAAAATCTTCTTTGCATAGAACTTAAATAATCTTTTTTTTCTCCTTAGTTAATTTTCACAGCTCTCCTTGTGCCTCCCTTGCTCTGCACAGATCAGTGTGAGCTGCCCGGGCCTGTCCCAGCAAGCACTGCCTGTAGAGGTTAATTTTAATACAAGAATTAATTCATCCAACAGCTATTGAAGAGACATTCATTGAGTACTGTCATGTCTTGGATGACAAATCCAATTTGTTTGCATAAACCTGTTAGCAGGAATTTGCTCCACTAAAGGGGCTGAGTAGATCTGAAGAGGCTCTGGTCTGTCTTTGGTACAGACAGAAGGGAAAATGAGATTATATTCCAGAGGTGATTACATGCAGCTCTTGATTGTCCACCATCAGTTGATTTTTTTAATGTCCAGAGGAATATTTTCATGAACTAGTCTTAATTATTCTAGTCAGCAGATTTTTTTATATTCAGTTCCCTTTTACTGCAAACTATTAGCATACTATCAAGTCTTGTACATTCTTCAGCACGTGGAAAATGTAACTCTGAATTAAGGCTACCCAATATAGATACTTATAAAAACATTTCTAGATTTCACTTCAGGAAATTGTCATTAGAGGCTTTTAAAAGCAATTTATAAATATATAGAAATAATAATAAATATAATATATAAGTAATTTATGGTTTATAAATTTATTATTTGTTAATTTTATATATTATATATCATATAATAATAATTTATTGTTTTCAATAATCTTCTGTCTTGGCTTGGAAAGTAGAAACTAAAGCAGCAATTGTGTGAAGGTTTTGTCAGAATTGGAGTATGTTTAGAGGAAAAGCTATGATTCCTTTTCTTTTTTTGCACTGGAGAATATGAAAATTCTTTCTTTGACCATGTGAGAGTATTATTCTTACATTTTTGGTAATTGGGCCTTTCCATGTGTATCATCCAGATCTGCTGGAATTCAGCTGTGTCTTTGTGTTTTATTAGGCAGCTTCCTTAAAGATTTTTTTTAATTTGGTATTTCTGAAAAAAACCACAGAGGTTTCAAAGTCACGATGTCAGCCTAGGTCTGTTCTACATTTAATCAAATAACCCGAATGGGAAACAGCCCAACTGACACGACTTTGTAATTAAATTTGTGTTTAAAATGGCCTCCACATGCCAATAACACCATCAAATGATTGTGGTTACTGGAGTTTGATGTTCATGAAAGACTGACTGTAATGTATTTCAATCATGCAAATATATTTCAATTTTAAAACTGTGTCTGAAGCATAAAATGTTTGAAAATCAAGATTCCTGGTGTTCATTTTGTGGAAGTGATAACTATTGCAATCCAATCAGACTTTGTGAAGATAAAGATAAAAGAAGATGGTGTCTCTTCAATGATATTTACTTGAAGTTTTCCCCAAAATGTCATGTTCAAACTTCATGGATTCACATGTGTGACATCTTTTAAAATCTTCCTGTTTTGTGATGCTCAGCTGGGCTCATTCTGATTACACAGTGACTTCTTACTTTTGATATAAATTCACTAAGGAAAATTCAGACTTCCTTGGTTTTTGATTACTCTCTTGTTATGTGCTGAAAATAAACATGTAACATCCTTTTGTGGACTTTGGACTCAAACTAGGGTCGAGCAGAATGTGTAACAGGTGTTCTTAAATATGGATTGCTCCAAGATAGAAGCATCTGTGGAAATGGATCTTCATCTGACCTAAAGGCTTCTTTGGGGAGTCAGCAATATCAACATATTTTATAATTTCTAAAGCATGTTTTAAATACACCAGGGTGTATTTTGTATATTTACACCTAATGCAAATTACCTCACAGGTGTCATGTTTTGAAGAATAATTTCCTCCCTTGGAAATGATTGGGAGAGGAAACACATTTTACAACCTTCTTCCTGCAGTATATACTTTTGGGAAGATTTAAACCACATAAAATATTTCTTTAATTTATTTTTCCTTTTTAATTGCATTAAATAATGATCACAAAATCTTTCTTAAAGGAAATTGCTGCATAAAATTACTACAATAAAAATAATTGAAGTAGGGTTTGGAGACATCAAGGTGACATCTACCTTTCCTTAAGACAAAAGATGTGGGCTTCATTAACTAAAGCTTGTCTTAAACATTCAGGATAAGGTAACTCTTATTAAATAACTCTTATAAGAGTTATTTAATACAATTTATTTATAAGAAAAAAATAACTCTTATTAGCTTTTTATTTTAGGATTTTCCATCTGTGGGTTCTCATAAAGAAGCATACTGGGGAAAAAGGTGTTGTGCCCTGAGATAATCCTCCCTATTTTACTTGTTATTTGGATAATCTTTCTTTTCACTGAACTTTATCTAGGATCAGATGTTATGATTTTTCTAATTACAGCATCACTAAGTATTTAATGACATTCTCTTCAAGGAGGTTTACATCATTCTGTCATATTTCTAAAATGAAACAGAACGCTGCCCATTCTTCAGAATGTAGAATCAAGTTCTGTACTTTGTATAACCTTTGAAAGTTGCATTTCTTTTGTACAGAAAAGCCATGAATTTTTTCATGCTAAAATGATTTTTTTTTCAATACCTGTTTCAGTAATAAAGTTCCTTAAGAGAAGATACATTATATGAAGAAATCCTGGGTGTGTTGGTACATCCAGTGCCTTCTGCCTTGTGGGGAGTTTATGCTTTTGGCTGTCTTTGTTCATTTCCTCTTTTTTTAAAAGATGAGTGGAAAATATTGGGATAAAATTGAAGACCAATTATTTTTTCAACCTCATTTCCTCTTTAGTACAACAGGTGGGCTCTGACCCATGGGCTGCCTCCTGAATAAGAAAGATTGTGGTAAAGGAAGTTGTAGTGATTAAAAACTCAAAAACATCACATCTGCAGAAAACGCCTTGGTTTTAATTATTGCCAACTCATTTAAACTTTGCTTCCTCTCACCCGCTTCCCTTTCCACTTCAATGTGCAAGGCAAAACATAAAACTCCAAAATGATGAAACCAACAAACATCTCCACCTGAATACTGCATTTCAAAACCACTGGTGAATGTTGGAACAAGTTCCGGCATGTCTGACTGGTACAGAGTGCTGGGCTTTGCACATGTCAGACTGAAATTCCCTTTTTTCACCTCTCAGGACACTTTTGTACCTCACAGGACAGTGACTAGAGGTGGCTCTGAGTAATGTGTGTGAAATCCTGCCCGCTTCCTCTGAACACGAGCAGAACTCTGAATGTACTGAATGTGCTCATTGGATTTTTATTTCCAGGGTGCTGACCTGAAGAACCTCAGAGTTATTTTCCCTATTGTTATTTGCACTGCTTCAGTTGTATCATAATCCTGTTGTACTGACTTTATAGTTCCCTAACTCCTGAAGATGTTTTCCATGCAGTGGCATAAAGAACATGTCAGTGACATTCATTCTGCTCATGTTATTTAGGTACAATTCATTAACTCCACTCCTAATTGTGTGAAGTGGTAGAGTTATTACAGAAGAGAGATTCAGGTGCCCAAATACAGACCTTTAATGCTATTTTTACTCCTGTCTGAAACCATCTAGACAGATTCTGAAGGCTTTTGGTAGCAGTAGATGAAGCAGCACTGTAGGGCCACAAACTGATCCTATATTTGGCCATTTCTTCCCCACAGAGCTCATTTTAAACCATTTTTGTTTTTACAATTTTAGTGTAGGTATTTGTTGCTACTTAAGATAAATCCCCTATTTTGTGCTTTTACTGTTCTTCCTATTACTGTTTCTTACTGCCATAAAGGATAAATTCTTTTGTATTTTTTCCAGAGACACCAATGCTGATTGCAATTAAATAAAAAGCTAAATGAGCTCTAAGTTACCTTTAATATATTGAAAAAATAATTGTCTGTCTAGAAAGCAAATTACCTCATTGCTGTGGTAGCAGAAAGGATTGTCATGATTTTCTGCTCTGATGAGAGTTTTACTTTTTTCTGAACTGCCATAGTCCTTTGCTATGAGCCAGAAATTTCTGTTATTCATTGTTCATGGTACTGCTTCCTATACAAGTAATATTAATATAAATATATATTAATATGTCATCTATAATTATATAAGCAATATTAATATTGCATTTCAGCAAGTTTCCAGTTGGAATAAGAAGCCTATTGCATTTATTGTATATATTGCATAGTTTGATCTAGGTACAGCTATATGCCACTCTCCAGCATTTGTAATAATAAAAATAAACTTGTCTAATTAGATCAAAAATTAAAACTTGGATGAACTCTATTTTTGTATAGAAGCAGATACTCAAAATACTGAAAGGAATATTTCTAATGCAGAGTTTCTGGAAGGAATGGGTGTCATATAGGCCAGAAAGATTTTTGTCAAAGCATTTTAAATGTTATGAGAGAAGCAGCAGTGAAAAACTTTTCAGTTCAACTTGAAAGCTCTAAGGAAATATTCAGTGACTATAAAACCTCTTTGAGGCATGGAGGAAATGGAACCAGTGTGCAGTTGCTTGTGCTGCCACACCTTACTCAGGGGAGCTGGAGGAAGCTGTTTGCGCTCTAAATAATCTGATTTTCATTGTGTGAAAGAAGCTGGTTACATGAGCTGGGCTTTACAGATGCTGAATCAAAGGCTCAGCTTGGTGGTGTTTATCTTGCAGCCACAAGTCAAAAATCCCAGTCACGTGGCAGAGTCCATTGGGAGGGAATGGCACAGCTGAAGTGCAGAAGGGTGTGGGATTTGCTGGGCTGAGGCTCTAGAAATAAACTTGATTGCATCGTGGCAATTTTCACACTTGTCTATAAAACAAACTTCTTAAATGATGACAAAAGTGGCTTTTAGTGGTTCTGCAAATGAGAAGAAAGCAGCTCTTAAGGCAGAGGGGAGTGCAAACACAGCACTTCCTACAGCAGTTAATTTTGTTAATGAGCTTGCAGCTATTTTCCTGTTTTGCTGCAAAGTTACATTTCCAAAGATTGTGCTCCAAATTATGGCTAAATTCAATGTAACCCATTGATTTTTCTCACTGCAATACCAGTAATTCCTAAATAATGACTTTACTTGATGAGGATTTTTACCTGTTTTTAGGAATGTTGGCAGGATTGTCTGGTGTTATTCAAGTTCCAATTTTCATTTGCTGAAGTAACTTTTGGTTGAAATTTTGCATTCTAGATGTCTGCCTATGGAAAATTCCCTTTGAAAATTTCAGCCAAATTAGGTTCCAATACTCCCAAAAATGAGATTATTGGAAAGATACTCCTCAGTGTTTCCTAGAGACCTTTAAAGTCTGCAACTATTTAACATTTGAACAAAGCAACTGTACCAATTACCTTATGAACATAGAAGGGGGCTGGTAAGGACTGTATAGATAATCTTAATTCCTGGAGCTGCCATGTTCTGAATGTTTATTTTGTGATCCTGTTTTGTTGCCACGTGGGTGTACAGAGTATAACTGAGGGGATTTGTGTGATTTTGCTTTAGATTATTGGCTGCCAGGTGAGAAGAGAGCCACTGGACTCCACTGAACGATACACTCGCTGGATCAATAACCTCACCCAGGAGCAGCTCCTTACACAGGTATCTCTGCTTCAGCTGGGCTGAAATTACAGCAGGGAAACAGCATAAAAGCTTTATTTGGATGGATTTTTTTCAGTCATAAGCAATATTCGATAGTTTATTAAGGTTATCAGATTTAAACATCGTTTGCTCAAGAGAAGCCAAGGTTGTGATGCAAGTGATCATTACAGAACAGTGACCTCACCCTGAGTGAGAATGAAGCTTTGAGGTTTGGAGTGAGCCTCACATGTCTCACTGCTGCCAGTGTTATCTACATATGCTTTCATGTTCTAAAATTATGGTTTTCTTTTCAAAAAGTGGATTTCAATACAAAAGGGAGAAAAAAAATCTTTCATGAGAATGGTTGTTCTCCCACCCAAGGTACTGACCACTCCTGTATCTGTTTGAGTTTTGCTTGGGACCATTTTAAAACAGCAGTTCTTCAGGCATTAAACGTTGGGCTCATTATACATTGTTTGTAAGTGAGATGCATCTTGTGCAACTGAAGATGACAGTTTTTGGCATAAAGAACAGTTGTTTCATTAGGCAGGAGGCCAATGCTGAACTAAAATAGAGACTAAAAGAGACTTTGGCAAAAACAAGTTAAGCTGTGGAAGAAACCAATCCAGCTTGTGGAGGAATGTTGTACAGAATATAAGAAATCTAATGGATGGTTTGCAGAAAACATCCCAGCAGGCTTTGAGATCCAAGTGTTTGGGCTTGGGTTTTGGGATGCTGTGTTAGAAAGACATTTGGTTTTGATTTCCCTGAATTTAAGTGGTTGAAAAGATTAACATATCCTTATTTGTTAGACTTCATTATAAACTCTGTTGTGTTCCCCTAACTCCAAAAAATCACTGACAGGCCCTGCTATGGTCATTGTAACACAAGGAGTAAACTACAGACCTTGTTTTAAAATCACCAGTGGTATTACAGCTCCCTGTAATTCACCAAGGCCGAGTAATTACAGAAGAAGTTACCCAAGGAATATTTGGATTTGCCTGTGAGTGTGGCATTAGAAAAAATACAGATTTAAACCAGTGTATTTATCTGACAGCATCTGGATCACTGTTCTGATGAAAAGAAAGAAAAGCTTGAGGATATAAAAGCTTGTCCCACACAATTTGAAGTGTTTTAGCTAAATGGCCACTTAATGTTTGATGAATTAAGTGGAAAATCAAAACAAGTATTCTGATTTTGAGATTATGAAAAAAAAAAACAAAACAAAAACAAAAAACCCCCCTCATTTTAAATAAGATGGTAATCAATGTGTTCTGGAAGAGATTAGTTAGTATTGTGTTTCCAACAGCAGGATGCAAATATGATGACCTGGGAAGTCCCTTGCAATCTTTCACTCTACTAATATCCCTTAAAGCCTTAATAAATGCATTATTTTTACATCTAATTTAGAATCACACAATTTACAGGTGGATTAGCAGTTTTGGGTCATACACTGGGTTTGGAACCAGCAGAACTTGTGGTGCTTACCCATGAGTTTAACAAGATAAGCTTTATAGATTGACCCTCTTTGTGTCTTCCTCATTATTTTTATCGTGCTACCTGTTCTCCACTAAGCTGAATGCAGAAGCAGAAGTTCCTCAAAGACAGTAGATTTCTGAGAATTCCATGAGTGTCTGAAATTCTGGAGAAATTGTGCTGCACCAGCTCCAACTCATATGTTGTTAAGCACCACAGACTCCCCTTGGAGGGAGATTTTAGGTGCCCCGTTATCAGACTTCAGCTGTGACACGAGCCTGGGGCAGCTTGGCTTTTCCAGCTTTGGAGCTAAAAGAGCTGCTTGGTTTCTGTGAGCACGTGGCACTTCTGCTTTTGTAATCTTCTGATTAGAAATTCACAGAGGGGGATAATTATTTTGGTTTTTCTTACTTAAAACAGTGTGGGACAGAGGAGGAATTGGGAGAAAAGGTAAAATTTCAGCTGTACTCTAATAATCAGGGTAGGAATCAATTATCTAAGGTCCCACTCATCTGCCATGATGTATCATATGCTTTATTTTGTGTCTATGTGGTTTTTTAACTCTCTTCAGTACATAAACCCCAAAAAATCTATAACGGTGGACCTGTGCTAATGGATTTGTAGAATCTCTGAGAGGAGCAGTCCTTCAGGGAATTGAGGAAAATTTGTTTTCATTTACAGCACGTTATCTGCAGCAGATTCCTGTAGTGAAAGCACGTTTAGCTTTTTTTAGCTCTCTCTGTACTCAGTGCCCAGCTCTTTCCAGTCACTTCTGCTGCATTTCCACACCATGCACATGCAGATTATTTGTGCTGGGAATGGGGAAACCAAGTGACCAATTCCAAAAGGAAAAAAAGCCAGTTTTCAAAATCATATTGTTTGTCATAATGTTTATGTTATTGATCAAATAATTCCCTGTGGCCCTGGATTGCTCTGCTGGGCAGTGCTGGGCAGATATTTTGGGAAGTGCCTTCAGACACCTCTGTGCTGGATGCTGGGTTTGTTGTTTTTGTTTTGGTTTTGCTTTTTTGTTTTGTTTTGGGGTTTTTTTGCTTGAGTCAATACCAGATTTTTGGATCAAATGTCCATCCCCGGTCCTCATGCTGAGAGGATCTTTCAATACAAAATGCTGCCAGCATTTTAACTTTTCCCTTAGCCCTGGCCTCTTGATGCTTACTCATCCATTAAATGTTTCTCTAAACAATTATACTGTAACATTCCAAAGATACTTTATGGTATGCGTGAAATTTCAGAATATATACCCCAGAGAGTGTGGTGGGAGTGAGAGAGTACAAAGAGAGCGTGATAATGAAAAAGCTACTTTTTAAAAGATCAATATTTGCTTCTTCAGTGTTATCTTCTGCATAAATGACAGGTGAGCAAACCACACTTTTATGGGTATACTGATATAAACCTCAAATACATGTGTTCTGGAAGACTTGCTCTTTCTGGCCAAGAGCAAAAAAAAAAACAAATAAAAAAGGATAATTGTAACTGTTCAGTAAGTGCAGATCATAGTGACAGGTACAGGAAGAAAATGAGCAAACAAATTAAGAGAACAGGCTGTTTTGATGTTGAAGTAATTGGAAAAAAATGTAGATTAAAACTAATCCAGAGGGATATCCGAGTCCAAAATGTGCTTGTAAATGTGACTGAGGTTTGATGGTGCAGCCCTTCTTTTACACTGGAAATGTTTACTGGGCTGTGCAACAGAAAAGTTCTGAATGGTTTTAAGGTTGGATTAATTGAACAAATATTTATGCAAGTCATTTTTAAGGACTGTAAGTAAAAGAGCTGAGTTCATGTCCACATCTGTTAAATCACTGCTTGAGGTCAGTTTAGTCTCTCAGCCTGTGAAGTATTCTGTTCAGCCTGAAGCACAATCCCATCTCACCTATCATTTTTTCCTCCTCAAAGACATTTCCACCCCTTCACGTGGTTTTTGACTTAGGAAGCAGGCAGCAAACTCCGAGTGACTCGTGAGGAGACTCCTGCCAAAAGGAAGGGCCTGTGCATGATAAGGCTGGACTGGAGATAAAGAACTAGTGTAGATAAATAACTGACAGAAAAAAGCCTCAGAGATTCTGCATGACTGTGTCTGTATGACTTCCTGATACATGCTGGACTTTGCAGGTTATCTTGGAGCTCTGGGTGTTGGATAAATCTGGAAATTGTCACAGGTGATTTGTAGTTCTTAGCAATAATCTCTGCCAACCACCTGACAGAAGAACAGTAATTAACATTTCATAGCACACGTCTCTGTGCTCTAAAAGATGCCTGTTGCATTTCACTGACAGCTTTTAAAGCTGTGCTTTCCTATTTACTAACTCATCCTTTATTCAAGTTTAATTAATATTGGTAAAGATTCATGCTACAAATCAGCATTTGCTACAGATGCTCAGTTTGGAAATAGTTCCAGCATTGTGGTGGAGTCAGAGTGTGCAGCTTGTTTTAAAGGCAAGAAGGACCTGACAGCATGGCTGGACCTTTTCTTTCCATCACTTCAGTGCACTTAATATTCCATTTTCATCATGTAGCTCAATAAGGAACTTCTCAGTGGTCAAAAGCTGGTAGGAGTAAATTGCAAGTAGGATGAATTTTCCAGGTGGACCAGGGATTGAATATCTCTGGCTTACAGCAGCTGTTTTGTCTACCTGCAGACAGAAAATTCCACTTTATTACCACTTGGGTTGGCTGTCCATGTGTCACAACTGAAATAATAATCAAGGCAGCAATCTGACAGTGGATGTATGCCATGCCTGGTGTCTGGTTATGTTAGTAAAGGCAAAAACTGGCCAGAGGGAAAGGCTTTCTTACTTAAGAATGAATAAAACATGAAAAGGCTGATTGAAATCCCCTCCACCCTCCCCCTCCCTCCCTCCCCCCATCTTTGCCACTATTAATGGCTCACTTGTGTTTGTTGTCTTTCAATAAAATGATACTCAACACTTCCTTGGGATTTTTTTTTGATCACTGTTTCCTCTTCCTTGACCCATATTATCTAAAATGTAGCATTAATAGTGAAACCCTGATGTTTTTCTGTTGAATGAAAAAGTGAAAGTTGCTGGTTATTACAGCAGATTCCAGCAGTAATCTGGAATGGGTATTTGTATGGGATTGAGCCTGTACCATATTAAAAAAAAAAACCCAACTGGCTGCTTCTTTTTGTGGTTGGTTGATCCTTGTTCTCCTCTGGAGGAGAATGAACCAAAGTTTCACAAGCTTGACAGTGTTTATATTTACATGTGAAAATACATGTCAAAGGGTTCATGGAATTCTAGAAAGTTTAATGAGAAGTGGCTTAGCCACATCTGTGAACTCAAAGCACAATTAGAACTTCCCAGTGAGGCTTTATGAAAAGGCAGCTCAGGGTCACATATTTTGAACTTAGAAACAGGTTTGCTGGAATTCAGAAATGTATACAGCTTGTGCTTTGTGTGTGTGCAGTTTTGCATGAGTTTAAAGGTGTCCCATAGGGGAAGGAGGAGTGTTAAATAACTTGTATTTTTCCTCTTCATATCTTGCTTGATAATTTGCATGATTAA